CTAACAGGATACGCCCTCAACTGCAGCCACTAAGAGCACCACCTGTGCACATTCACTACGTTCCCTTTTAAAAGAGCCCTGTCCACCTGTCATCTCTTTCTCTCCCTCTCCCCTTCCCCCCACTTCTCTGCCTATCTCTCTGTCTCCTTCCCCCACTACACGCCTCTCTTCTCTTCTGCTGCTCCTGTCCCCAGAGGCCAGCCTCCCCGCCTCCTTTTCCCATTCCCCTTCCCTTAATTAAAAAAAAAAAAAAACCTGCTTGTGAGCTTTGTTGTATAGCATCTATCTCTCTTGAATGGCTTTTTAAAGTGCAGCAGCGTACACCCAGCAACAGTCAGCCATCATCTCTTCCTGGTCCTGAGAGGTGAGTCTGGAATGATCTGCTTGGGTGTTTACACTCCTTACAAAAGAGAAGCCAAAGGAAGAACTTTAAAAGGGGTGGGGGGACTGAAGGGTGGAGGCTGGAGAATAGGAATAAAACATTTGCTGTTCTAACTAGTCTCACTTTCAAGGAGAGAACATTGGCAAGTAAAAATAGGTGCTGTGGTTTGGAGGAAAATGGCTTCTCTAGGTTCATATGTTCAAATGCTCTGTCTTCAGTGGGTGGACCTGTCAGTGACGGATTGGGAAGTATGGCCTTAGAGAAAAGGTGTGTCGCTGGGGATGGGCTTTGAAGTTACAAAAACCTATGCCATTCCAGTTGCTGTCTCAACGTCTAAGTTCTGAGCTACTGCTCCAGCATCATGCTGCCTGCCTGTTGCCTTACTCCCTGCTGTGATGGCCTTGGACTCACCTTCTATAACCACGGGCCGTATATTAAACGCTTTCTTTGGTAACTTGCCTTGGTCATAGTATCTGTCTTAGTCACGGTTATTAGTACTGTGGTTAAACACCACGACCAAAACAATCTGGGAAAGGGTTTCCTTAGCTTACATTTCCCTATCACTGTTCACCATCCGAAGGAAGTTAGGACAGGAACTCAAACATGACAGGAGCCTGGAGATAAAAGCTGATGCAGAAGCCACAGAAGATCACTGTTTACTGGCTTGTTACCCATGGCTTGTTCAGCTTGCTTTCTTATAGACCCCAGGATCACTAACGCAAGGATGGTACCACCCACAATTGCCTGGGCCCTCCTTCCATCAATCATTAAGATAATGCACTACAGGCTTGCCTACACCCTGATCATACGGAGACATTTCTTAATTGAGCCTCCCTCCTCTCAAATGACTTTAGCTTATGTCAAGTTGATATAAAACTTGACAAACACATCACTGTTAAGCCACAACCTTTGCTTTCTTGTTCATCCCTGTATTAATATCAATACCACAATATAAAACATTTTATGAACTTAAAAAAAGTCTCAGTATTTACAAATGCAAACATTTTAAAATTCAGTCTCTTTCTAAAAAATCCAATGTCTCTTGTAAAACCTAAAATCTCTTCAAGCATTCAGTTTCTCAACTGTGAGCTCCTCAAAATAAAAAATAAGTTAAATACATCCTTACTTCAAGAGGGAAGGACCAGAACACAGTAACAATCAAAGCAAAGCAAAACTAAGCTCCAGCTCTGTGAATAGCTCAGTATTCAATGTCTGGGATCCACTCACCATCTTCTTGGCTCCTCCTAAGGGCTTGGATCACTTCCCTGGCTCCTTCCTCTGGCTTCACAGACACAGATTATCTCCTAGGCTCAGTCCAGCTCCACTCCATACCTGCTGCCGTCCCTTGGTGATTGTCCCATGACACTGGCATCTCCAAAATGCTGGGGTCTCCTGTTACAACTGGGCTGCACTTTCGCCAAAAGCTTCTCCGGGCTCTCTTTCAGGGACTCCAGCCCTGCCACACAGAGCCAAGCCTCAGCTGCTCTCCATGATTCCTGCATGCCTTCAAAACCAGTATCGCCTGAGTGGCTCCTACACTACCAAGTTCAGATGTAAATGTGAGGGGACAACCCTGGCCTCCTATGGAACATAGACAGCTGTGTGCTGACTTTGAGGAAACACTTCCCAGAAGATTTCACCTTGATGACTCTGGTCTCTTCTTAACCACTGCTATATGTCTCAGCTCCAGCTGACCAGCATCAATTTTCCCAGTAAAGAAAAAAGTTTTGCTACAGTAGTTCTGACCTCTTGTTAAACACAGCTGGCTTTTCTTCCTCAGCTGACCAGAACCACAGACTCTCAACTCAAAATAGCAAATGCACGGATAGAGTCTTTAAACTTCCCTCTGGAGCTTCACAAGCCAGGCCTTCACCTGGGGACTGCTTTTAACATTCTTATCTCCCAAGCTCCTATAGAACCTCCCACTGAGCTCTCAACACTAAATGCTTTTCTAGCCCAAAGTCCTTCCACAATCCCCCTCAAAACATGCTCAGGTCTGTCATGGAAATACCCTACTATGCCAGCATCAATTTGTCATAGTTACCACCACTCTTGCTGTGATGTAACACCATAACCAAAGCAACCCGAGGAGGACAGGGTCTACTTGGCTTACACTTACATATCATAGTCTATCACTGAAGGAAGTCCGGACAGGAACTCAAACAGGGCAGGACCTTGGAGGCGGTATCTAAAGCAAAGGCCATGAAGGGGTGATGCTTGCTGCTCATGGCTTGCTTAGCTTGCTTTCTTATAGGCTCCAGGACCACCAGACCAGGAGTGGCACCACCCACAACGAATTGAGCCCTCCCCCGTCTATCACTGATTCAGAAAATGACCTACAGGCTTGCCTACAGACCAGTCTTATGGAGATTGTTTCCTTAATCAAGGTTCCCTCCTGACAAATAGCTTGTGTCAAGGTGAAATAAAACTACCCAGCACAGGATCTCTTCACGGCATTAAAAAGGTAACCAAGACAAAAGGCAAGTGGTTTATTGTTCTAGATGGCAGATGTACGGAGACACACCTGTTCTTCCAGTAACCAGATGGCAGCTGGGCAAGGCTACAGGGCCACCAGCAGGTGCTTTCCAGGGCTCAGCTCTTGGAAGTGTTTGGAAGATAGAGCCATCACAGCACAGTGAGAAAAGACCTGGGACTCAAGGTAAAATGAGCTAGGACTGCACCCAACCAGTGTGAGTTCATTCCTGACACTTAGTCATACAACATCCAGATAAACGTTCCCATGACTGCTGATGGACATGATTTCTTTAGGATCATCCTGTTAAAACTCTCTGACTTTCTGACTCCAAGAAGCTGAGCTAAGATTTGGAAGATGGGTGTTAGAGAAAGGTTGATTCCGCAAAGCCAGGAAAATCTGACTCTCAGATCAGTGTAATAGGGACCCTGTACATGTGTCCATTGTGTCAAAGGGCTTCTTACATTAGCATCCCATGCCACACCCCTTCCCCACTTTTCAGATGTCTTTTGTCTTTTGAAGGGTTATCATTTCAATCCATGTACAACAAGTCAAAGGATTATGAAGAGCTGAAGCAACTCCTTGCTAATTATTACAAAAACATTAATATTGAGTCACCTCAGCTTCCTAGGTGGTTTATCAATTAGTCCTTGAACAAATATTTGTAACTGCCTGCATTAATTCCCTATGACTGCCCTGACAAACTTCTACAAACACAGAGGTTATAACAACAAAAGTTCATTCTGTGAAAATCAGAAGTGATGGGGGAATGTCCTTCTGTATATATGTCTCTCTTATTGGCTGATGAATAAAACACTTATTGACCCAGTAGACAGGCAGGAAGTATAGGTGGTGTTACCAGATGAGAATTTCGGAGAGAGGCCACCAGAGAGACACCATGTAGCTACTGGAAAGATAGGATGCCAAGCATTTTCTGGTAAGCAAAGACCACATGGAGATGCATAAATTAATAGAAATGGATTAATAATTAAGAGAGAACTAGCCAATAGGAAGCCTGAGCCATTGACCAAACAGTTTATAATTAATATAAGCCTCTGTGTATTTATTTGGGACTAATAGGCTTTGGGATCAGGTGGGACAGAAACCATGTCTACACACAAAAGTCTAAAATCAAGTCATCAGCAAATGTATTAATTTTTGTCACAGTGACAAAAATACCTGCAAAACTGTCCATGGTTTGTTGTCTCCATTGCTTTTGGGCCCCTAGTGGGAAAAACATCACAGTGGCAACAGGTCTTGGAAGAGAAAGCTGCTCCCCTGCTGGCAGCCAGGAAGCAGAGGCAGACAGGAGGGGGCAGGGCACAATATGCACCCTTCAAAGACATAACCCTCCAGATATACCTCCTCCAGCCAGGCCATATTGCCTTCTAACAGTCCACAGACCCATTATTGGATTAATCGGACCTCTCAGTAGTAGTAGCAGCAGCAGCAGCAGCAGCTGGGACCAAACCATCAACATAAGTCTTTGGGGGCCACTTCATGTTCAAACTAAGCAGCTTCCAAACACATCCAAGAAGACAGAGTTAGTGTTCTCACTTTTCCTAGGACTTAGGGGACTCCCCCTGCTGGCCAGAGAACAGCTGCTCCCTCCATCTGGCTCTGGTTCCATTACCATGCCTCTTATAAGGGCCTTGTGGCAACTTGGGCCCACCCAAATAATCCAGGGTTTTCTCCCCATCCCAGGTTCTTTCATTTAATCACATCTGCAAAGTCCCTTTCAACATTCAAGGTGACACATTTCAGACTCTGAGAACTGAGATGTGGCGCATTTGGGGGCCATTATTCAAACTACTGCTAGCATCAACTCAAAGAGCTGGGTTGACACAAATAATACAAAGAAAATCACACCAAAGAATATCATAATTAAGTTGCTGAAAACTCATTCATATTTTGTTTAAAAAATCACCTTAAAAGCAACCAAAAGAAATATAAGTTCTGTGTGTGTGTGGGGGGGTAACAATAAGAATTTTCTCTCTGTTCTTATCTGAAATAAGACCACAGTTCAATAAAATGCCTTTAAAGAACATAAAGAAGCCGGAATAGGCAATGACTTGGTCTATTTTGTGCTGTTATACCCCAGAACATTGGAGACTGGGTCACAAAGAACAGAAATGCATTTCTTACAGTTCAGAGGCAGAGAGGTCCAATGTCCAGAGCTTGTACCAGCAGAGGTCTGTGTCTGCATCATCTAATGGCAGGGGGTGGGTTGTCAAGAGAATAAGAGCATGAATTTACAATCTGACCTTTCTTGCAGTAGCATTAGCATGTGTAAGGATAAGCACATTCCATCAGGCACCTGATCCTGACACTGTTGGGAGCCAAGTTTCTACCACATGCTTTTGCTAGGACACATTCAGATCCTGTCAAGAAGCATGGGCAATCAGGGAAGGGCTGTGAGACAGCAGGACAGAGGAAGACAGCCTGTAACTACCATAAAATCATAAAAGAAGGTGGGGCTAAAACCACTCATGTGAAGGTGTGTGTGTGTGTGTGTGTGTGTGTGAGAGAGAGAGAGAGAGAGAGAGAGAGAGAGAGAGAGAGAGAGAGAGAGAGAGAGAGAGAGAGAGGGAGAGGGGGGGGGGAGAGAGGGGGGGAATACTATGGAACACCTATAGAAGTCAGAGGACAACTCTTAGAGTCATTCTCTCCATCCACCTTTACATGAGTTCCAGGAATCAAACTCAGGTTCCCAGACTTGCAGGGAAGCTCCTTCACCCTCTGAGTTACCTTTCTGGCCCTCTAGCTCTTTATCATCAATGTCACTCACTCTTAGGTTCCCCTGTGAAAGGCTTGGCCCTCAGCATGTGACACTGTCTCTGAACTCTACCCTCTTCCCAGCCCACGCCTCCAGATTTCCAGATTCCACAAAAACGATACTGGGATATAAACCTGATGCTGCAACGATAAACGGCACACTTACTGAAAGTAAAAATAAGTATTTATTGTAGAAATTACTCACAAGAGACAAACAAGTAACCCAGATGAGCCGAGTAGCTTTCCGCCGCCAAACCGGAAGCCGGAAAGCCGGAAAAAGAGAGCTAGACTTCCGCTATTCAGTCTTTTATACCTTCCTCTGTAACGCCCCTAGCCAGGCCTGGCTAGTGATGTAGTTCACTGCCTACTTCTGAATAGTCTTTAGTCATGCCGAAAGTGGGTGTGGTTAGTGTTGCAGTAAACCGCCCTTTTATTACCTCATCTGTGTGGGCCTCTAGTAAGTCACATGGTTAATGGTGGCACACTGTTTCCTCCTACAATTCCCCTTTTAGTCTAAAAAGGATATTGAAACTTAAAACAACTAACTTCTGTCAATGAACAAAATGTATCAAACATCTATCCCATCTAAACCTAAACTTATCTGAAAGAAACACCCAAGTCTGAACACCTCTTTCCAATCCCAACTCTAAAATAATTGAAAACTAACGCTAACAGGTGTAAACTATCCTATAATATCAATAGTAGGGAGGGGGCGTGGAATTCTCAAAACTACTTCCTGCTGAGATGGGACGATGACAATCTCATGGGGACCTGTGAGAAGAAAAATGTCAGTGTAACAAAATGTTCAGTAGATCAGACAGTCTCTGTATGGCAGGAGATGCTTGATTGAAGTTCCTAACTGGAGTTCTAGTGTTGATTGAAGCTCTCGTCTGAAGCTCTGGCCAGATTGTAGAAGGTGTGCTGTTTCAGTTCCTTGGTCTGGAGTTCTGTTGAGTGATGTAGTTCCAAGCGGGTTTCAGGATGGTGCTTGTCAGGTGGAGTCAATGATGTGGGGCAGTTCAGATGCATCCAGTCGAATCAGGTGGAGTCAAAGAAGTGGATCCTCATTCTCTTTCTAAAGCAGTTGAAGATTGCTGTCAGGAAATCCCTTGTTCTCTGGGATTAATGTCAACAAAGAAATATTTTAACTTTTATATGTATGCATACCAGAAGAGGTGACAATAGGGAAGATGGTAAACATGAAGGAAATTAGACTTTTCAGAAAAAGAAAACCACAGATAACAGTACCTAACTTTATTTTCTTCTGTCTTATATCAATGGCTCTTTGATATAATACAGAAATTCTGGATTTTATTTAAGTAATATGCTTGAATTTAGAATAGGAGAGCCAATCCAACTCCAAAGCCAGCTTTAGTTAAATGAATGGGGGCTGAAGTATATGAAGAAACAAAGATAAAAGGGTACTATAAAAACAATATAGAGAGATTTAGACTTTGATACCACACAGTGAGTTACTGTTTGTTTGATGGTCCTCAGGGTAGCTATTCATTCTTCTTCAGAAATCTATATGTACAGTATTCTTTGCTGAGTTTACCTGTGAAGACAAAAAACAAAACACTTCTCTTCCCTTTCATGAGGTCACTTTACCCATGGTAGAATATAATTTTGTAGATGAACTGTTATCTTTCCTCCTCCTGAGATGTCTTCTGTTCTGATCGACTCTTAATTAATTTCGATGGAACCCAAAGTTTTTCTTCTCCTGTGGAAACAAAAGCATAACCCCTTCCCCAACGTAACACATATCCTGGTTTCCAGACTGAGGTCATAACATCCTTAAAATACACCGTTTGGTTCAGTTCAGAAGTCTTCTCTGTAGTCCAGTGTCTTTCTGCTGTAGTTTGTCCTTTTTCATCAGCATTAAGAAAATTCAATGTTAGTAAAGCATTATCTCACCTGTGTTTGGGGGTCTTTGTTCCCCCTGGCTGTTTATGAAGCATCTCTTTTAAGGTTAAATACTTAAGCCAAAGATAGCCAGTAAGAAACAAGCAAGGCCAACAGCTTCATAATTAATACAGCGTCTTGTGTGTTATTTGGGGACTACAATGTGGCAGAGCCCAGGCAACTGGTGGGGAAAAACCAAGTGGCTGACAAGGAAAAGGCTTCTCTTTACATAAACCTTACAGCAGGGCTTAACTTTTTCACCCAAGGAATTTTTACACACTTCCATACGTATATGTTGTGGTGATGGCTGGTGTGCATGTCAACTTGCCATAGATTATAATCACCTGAGTAGGGAGCCTCACCTGAAGAACTATCATGATTACCTTAACTGATATGGAAAGAGCACCCTGAGGGTGGGCAGCACCTTCTGGTAGCAGTCCATACAAAAAGGTCTTTGCAGAAGGACATAACTTGGTCACTTGTCTTTCCCTGCTGATGCCCCTCCCTGTCCCTGACAGCAGAACCAGCCTTCCCAGACTTCCATAATTGACTAAGGACCAGCATCTCTGAAATAAAAAAAAACCTGATAAGCCTGGGGTCTGATAACCACCTGGGGTCCAGACTGAGGGTTGCTGAGTCCCTGAGTGTTGGAGTCAAGGCTCAGGAAGCTGGGCTCTGTGCCTGCACACACAGCCTGTTTTCTGGAGGCAGGCACCTATATGAGCCTCTATGTCTGAATGCTATGTATAATGCTTGGCAGGCCTGTGAGGGCACTGGGGATATGTTCATCCTGCTGCAGCCTGCACATGGTACTCTGAAGGCATTGGTGTAATGATTTCACTAGACCCAAGATAAATGATAAATGGGTGTTTATCGGGGGACACTTAACACAGAATAATATGAAGGACCGAGGGAGCGCTTTTCTGCTCCTCCTACCGGATCTACTGACCCAAGCAAAAGACTGAGCAAAAGAAGCCATGCCTCAATCTTCCCTCTTTCAGCTTCAGTCAGCCTGAAGCCACGCCCAAGGGGGTGTGCCGCAGTTACAGGTTCACCACTACAGTACTCTGCCAGTGGTAGCAGGATGCACAGCTCCTGAAGCCACATTCAGATACCAAGCTCAGTTACTTTATCTTCACAGAGGCAGCGAATGCTGCAGTGCTGAATGAAGCCACAGGGCATGCTCCTGGAAGAGCCAGCATCATTTCTCAGCTTTCTGACTGAGGTGTCTGCGATGGAGTCCTGAGAAGACGAGTAACCGCTGTGGTATGACAAAACTTTTCCTGGGGAGATGTAACACACACATCTACTCAGCCCAGATAGGGAGCCCATGACAGACCAAAGTACAGATAACACCAAAGTCCAACTTGGTGAACCGATGAGCTTTATTGGGGTTACCTCCAGGAATATATGTGAGGGGTTACTTACCGAAGCAGAAATGACTCAAAGACCAAGCCATCACCAAAGCCCACCCCTTAATGAGTGCCAACTCACAGAGCTGGGGACCTGGGGCACACCGCACAGCCAGCATGAAGCCCAACAGGCTGGAGAACGTCTTTGCCAAGTAACTCAGTTGGTCTTTACCTCTTCCAGGAATCTCAGCTGGTTTCTGCTTCTTCCAGGCAGCTTATCTGGTCTCAGAGTCTTTCTTATTGCTTGCCTCTGTTCTTCTGAGACAGACTCTCAACTTTTACTATTTACTCTAGCAGGGAGAGGCCTAGTGAATTTGGTCGGTTTCAGGGACTTCCTGAAACTATTTTGAGTCGTTCACCTTCTTGCTTAGCATGCTTCCTTGTAGAAAGGTATGTTTCAGTCTCATTAGAAACAAACCCACCACCATCCACAGGGCAGCAGGCCTCAGCCTCTGCTTGACCTATGTGACCGTGAATTTCTCAGTGACTCTGAGGAACTCTCCTCCTCCTCCCCTGAGGCTGACCACTCTGAGCATTCCAGGCTTGGCTTCCTGAGTGGCTTGCTCTCTGGCAACTTTGTGCAGAAGTCACTGTGCCCATGGACAATGCTGCTGTCCTGTTGACACTGTTCGTGTGCTTTGCCGCTGTCCACTAGCTCACAAAGCCATTAAAATCCTACAAGTCTCCAGCTGTGGATCCTGCCAGAACACATGAGAATCGGATGTCTCCACTATGTCTCAGCTTCTGGGTACGAGGTTGTGCCATGTTCAACTGGGGTTGATTGTGCAACGTCCCAGGAGAACAAACACCATTCAGTCGAAATCAATGCCCAGCGCCAGAGGACACACAAATCGCCCATTTACATAGCAGACTCTGGAGCCATAGGCACCTCAAAAGCAGCTGCTTGGGAGTTTCTGGGAGAAGCCTGGTACAAAGTGACTCTTCCACAAGGACAGCTGGAGCCTGCAAAGCAGATGAGACACATTACTCCAGCTTTGTCTGATCCCAGGAAGTGAAGGATAGACTTTACATCATGGGGCGGTGGAAATTGGCAGTCCCTAGGTTGGGACCAGCATTGTACTGGATACAGAATGGGGATCCCCAAGTCACTCTGTGTCTTGTCTGGTCAGGCTCTATAACATGTTCCTGGTTTCTTTCACAGCACCAAAGCTATAGGAGCTGTAGCTGTCACTTTTCCAGGTAAGACAAGAAAGTAGGGTCTTCTGTCTGTATTCAGCTCCTCTGCATAGCCTGCCTCAACCATCACCAGCTCCCCAGGAAAACTGTCAGGGGGCCATCCAGCTGTCTGGTTGTTGGCTCTACCAGGGTGGGTAGAAATCTGGTACCCCTGACAATCAAGGCTCTTGGGTCCTCCCCATTAAGGTGGGGACAACTATCTGGTAAGTGGGTACAGATCTCAAGACACAGGAGACTCAAGGCCCCACATAGGAGTGTCTTGATAAAAATTGGCTAAGAAAGCTGCAGGGTTTCCTTGCTAAAGGTGTGGGGTAGCAGCCCCTCCACTGTTGTTATATTTCTCAGAAAGAGGGCAGTGACTGTTGTGGGGACACCAGACCTTGAGCAGAGACCCACTTCCCCATTAGCCTGGGACCAGGCAGCTGTAAGACAATGTTTACTAAAAACAATACAATGCCCGGGGCAATAAGTTCCTGAAAAGGGCTTGCCCACGGGAACTGCCCTGTCCTCGACCTTTTCCAAAGACTAACCACCTCCTCAGACCCACCCATATCCCTCTGGTGTCAGGGTATATAATGACCAGCCGGTGTAGGAATAAAGGAGAGCCTTCTTGAGGAGCCTTCGGGTCTATGTGTTGTCAATCCCCGACACCCTCTGCACATTCTTGGACACAGGCTGCACAGCAGGCGCGGCAACTGTAGCTCCATGCACATTGTTTCTAAGGCCCAGTCATGGCAGCTCCCATGTTCCAAAGCCCAAGAGAGAGCAAGGAAGTACATGGGAATCCA